TCTCCTGTCAGAGCCGTAATGCAGAGAGACAAGCTCAGTGCCGCCTGGATTCTGGAGAGTGGGGGAAGGGATTAAATGCACTTTCCTCCATTGATTTATGTCCTATGCTGAACATCAGCAATGTTCTGCTCCACTCAACTGTTCGAGAACCAGCAGCTTGTTTTGGCTGAGTGTGTGGGGGACAGGTCTGAAGGAATACAGCTCCGGCTCAGTGGACGGAGGATGGAGACACACAGCTGCCTTTTAGCAACTGTATGTCATATCTGCCTATTAATGATGGTTGTGTTATCTGTCTCCACTAGCTGGATAAGCTACTTACATTTTTTTTTTTGTCATTGTTGCCGGGAGAGCAGCTGCTTAGTAGACAATGAGCCAAGTTTGGCTCCTATATACGATCTGCGACGCCAACAGCGGCAATGAAAAAGTAGTTTGACAGAGTCTATCTAATGAAGCAACAGGAAGGGGAAGACTTCTTTATACCTTAGGCACCAATCCCAAATGTTTCTTTTTGGTGGGATGTACCTGAAGTTCTGCTGCTGTTAAGGTCAAGGTGGCTACATTTCCTGTCAAGCACATTTCCTGTCCTGTAACAAATATTTACAAAGCTTGTGTCATAGAGAAGAGTCCAATACCAGGAGTCCTTGAAGAACCGGAATGGATGTATTTAAGGGCTTTGTTTTTCCCCAGTGTCTTCTTTTTTGTCATGACCAATTGGCTGTAAAGATGTCAAACCTTTGCACGCAGACAGAAGTGACATTTTTCTCCTGATCTGCCCACAGAAAGCAGTCTATAGCCGTGACCAAACACAAGTGCATGACTGCAGACCACTTAAAAATGACCGTTCAGGCAAAAATCTAAACCCTTATTGCATGAACATCTGTTCACCAGGACACCCCAAGGGAAGACAAGGTCCAATGGTCACAAACTCCTGGAAGACCATTTTAGGCTGGACATAAGGAAAAACTTGTTTACCGTCTGAGTCCCCAGGGCCTGGAGTAGACTCCTCCAAGAAGTGGTGCAAGCACCTACTCTGGACACTTTTAAGAAACATTTGGATACCTATCTTGCTGGGATCATTTGACCCCAGCCGACTTCCTGTCCCTTCTGAGTTACAGCAGGGAGCTGCACTTCTGTCTGCCCTATGTCCCAAAGGACATCTCCAGCATCAATAGCAGCAAGACAAACATCGCGCATCCCGACTTAAAAGATGTACCTCATCTCTGTCCTGATTGAACCAACTTTCGGAACTGGGAGGTTTATAAGAGAACTGCCAGTCCACAGATCCTAGTCCTCCAAAAATGCCATGGGTGAGGGGACTGAGTGTGTGTATACTAGGAACCGGGCCCAGACTCCTGCTCATTTTAAGAAGCCATTGAATAGTTCCCACATGCTAGTGACTTCCAGTGAGCCCTGCGCTGGTCTGGATCTGAACAAATGATAGAGAGGCCAAAAAGCTCCTTTTGCCCTGAAACGTTCCTGAGCCACAGCGGCAATTGGCAGAGGAGCCAAAAAACATGCCTTTGAGGATAAGTCTATATGGCAAAATGAAGGCATGATCATAGTCAGCAGGGGTAACAAGCAGCAGCGCTGGTTTTGGCACTGGAACAGCTAAGATGTTTATGAAGATCCCCGGAGAGTTTGTATTTGGTTGCTAAAACATGCTAAACCCCTGCTGTCAAGTTTTCCCTGCTATAGTTTATCTGGCTGTAGTTGCACCTCATTTTGCTGCATAGCTGTACCCTGAATTATTTACTGAGCTGTATTTGACTCTGCATCTTTGATCCCACATAGCCTATGGGCAGCTGGACAAGGAAGAGGCAGCTAGACATGAAATTTCCGGTCTGAACTCAAAGGGCAAAGCACAGCCTGATATGACCTGAACTTAGAGAGAACGATCAATGGAAATAGTCTCTTGTCTTTCAGTGTAAACTCTGCATTTTTTTTTCTTTAAAAAAGGAAATCTTTCATTCTTTCTTGGGCCAGAAAGCCCCAGTTCTGCCCCAGACTCAGTTCACAAAATAGCAATGTAGGATGATTTAATGAAAATAAGTAGCCCCAATTTTTCTCCTGTGGGGGTAGGAATGCCTGAAAGCTGTTGTAATAATTAAGGCACTTATTTATCATTTGTGTTGTGATGCAACTTAAGAAACCATGAGTCATGGACCATAGCCCATGTACAAATACAGAACCAACAACCCCTGTTGGAAGGGGGCTTGAAAACCTGACAATGATCACTGGGTATTTCATTGTATGTATAAACCCAGTACCCACTATTACTGATCTTGCCCATTTTGGCAGATAAGACTAAATGACATGGCCAAAATCACAAAGGAACTTTGTGACCAAGTAAGGCAATCAGCCTCCAAGGTCTGGAGAAGGATGCCGACATCTTAACTGTGTCCACCTATTCTTTGTCTCATGCATCATGCAAATTGATGGCACTTTCTGAAAAGTAACATTCACCCGGTGCTTTTCCCCATATTTTCCCTCAGTATTTTGCTGTGCGGTGTGTCGAATGCCGATGCTGCTTCACAGATGACTACATCTCAGTGGTGATAAAAGCAGTTTCTATTTGTGTATGTCTGTGAGTGCGTCTGCCAACATGAGCTGCAATCTCGCTTTATACTAATTAGTTTGGCAACAATAGCAGGATAGCCAGGGTAGTAAGGAGCTCAAAGCAAGCTAATTGCCTCAGTTTTACCTATGTCCTGTAGTTAATGTGCTGAGCTCTGTGCTGCCTTGCTTACACTATTATTAGTAAAACCTAAGCTAGTTAGTTTAAAACTAGCTTGCTTGGGCTGCAATCACCTCTCTGGCTGCAGTGTAGATGCACCATATGCATCTAAGGTGCTGCAAATGGGAGCTGTGGGTCACATGCACACATGTAAACACCATTTTCATAGCTTTTTTTGTGTGTACAATGGTGATTAACATCCACCTGCTCTCAGCCCAGCACTAAAAAGCTTTGTGTGGCAACTGCAACAGATACCTTCCAGCAAAGACAAAGTACCATTTTCAAAAACGCTTACAGGGCCTGAATCCCACTGGCTTTCCGTACAGCTTTGTCTGCAGAGCACGCATCTATGCTGCAGTCACAGCAGTGATGACCACATCGCTGTGTAATGCAGAGACATCTAAGCTAGCTGTGACTAGTCCTGGGACCAGTCCTAATTTACCCTGCTTCTCAGCTTGGTTTTGCAGGCTGTCACACTACAGTCACTTCTGGACTCCACTGTGGTCCTCACTTTAGCCACCTTTTCCAATGAGTCTTTGGCACATCAGTCCTTAGGCACTTTTGAGATCTTGACCCAAAACCCATATGTTGAAATGCCTGGACTTGCATTCCACTGTCTCCTGGTTTCAGGCAAGGTTATATCTTTTAGTAGACTAACTGAGTAGTTGGAAAAAAGTTCTTAGCAAGCTTTCAGTCGCAGTCACCCTTCATCAGGCATGGGGAGTCTTTGCTGGTCTGAGACTCCAAGGAATGAGAGAAGCTGAAAGCTCTGGTAGGATGTCAGTGAAAATGTAAATAGGTAAAGATAAGAAAAGCAATCAGTAAAGCAGAGAAGAGAGGGGGAAGAAGGGGCAGGGGGGAATAGGGAGACCCTCTTCCCTTTTTCTGTAGGTAGGTGGCACGGAAGACCCAACATTCATGGGGAGGAATGGCAAATCTGTGCATGGAAGGGCCAGGTATTGGTATTGCTGTAACAAGGAAGGAGCTGACTTTGTTTCCAGTCTTTAGGCATTTTCCCATTCTAGCAGATCAGTGGAGACCGAATGCCGGTTTGGGGGATAATGGATGGAGAAGTACCTAGCACATCACATTTCTTTCACTGTCTGCTTTCAGGCATTGTTATTGAAGTGTAGCTTTATCACATGGATGAAAGCCTGGCTGTAGTATTGGTGAAACAGAGCCTCAACTAGCAAGGACTTTGGCCCCTACTAGAGATGGTAATTTAAATGCAGGCAACAAGGGAGAAAACCTTTTTATTTTTTTATTTTTTTAATCTCTCTCCCACTCCAGGCATTCAGATGCCATGGCAATGGCTAACTGCATACCTGGGTTGTGTGGTCTTCTTCCTTACCATGTCTATATTTGTCCTCCTCTTAAAGATCTGGTCCTGCAGGTAGATTCACAGAGGCAGACCCGTACCTGGCAGGGGAAACACCGTGACCACCAAGGTGGTGTCTTAGTCGCACCTGAGGATAACCGTTTTCCTGGCATGGGGTAGTGCCCACAGGGGTTATGTCATTTTACGCCCACTTTATGGAAATGGGAGACTCCTCCCTAGCTTGGTTTTGCAGCCGTATGGCTGAGGGCAAGCAAAACTTGGGGGCATCCAAACCCCAAGCCTCCAGGCTTGGGTCTGCAAGTAGGATGCCTGCCAAAGGATTTGGAAACATCTGATGCCCCAGGTGGGGTGGAGGATATTTGCTGGTTGCAGGGCCACTTATGATTCTGGCCTGACCTAGAGATTTGGATTTGATCTGGCTGATTTGGCTTGAAACAAAAAAAGCAGACCCATGTTCCTACATGGAGCCCCACTGAAGTCAGCAGATCAGCAGCAGTCATTGCAGCCCAAGCCACCTTGAATCCAGCTACTTAGATCCTGACAGCAATGTGGGTAGAGTAGCCTGGAGCCCAGAACAGGCTGTGAAACCACCTGAGAAGGTGAGTAAACCTCAGGGGAAGCTGGTTCAGCTGTGCTTCACCAGCCACAAGGCCTGAGCCGACTCTCCAGGTGAGCAGCACTCAGCTGTAACTGCAGTGCAAACGTACCCCAGTCTTGGGCTGCAATTATTACCTCTTCTGTCCTTTCCTCTGTAGTCCTCAGAGCAGGGAAGGAGTTCACCAATGGCTCTGTTTTCCCTCTGGTGCTTTTCTCCCCTTCCTCCATTGGGATTAGCCTTTTGATCTCAAGAAGAGAAACACAAGCTGGGAGCACCCTTTAGCAAAGCTACATTCTGCAGCTCCCCTTCTCCACATGACAGCAACGCCTGTATATATGCAGGAATCTGACTATTTATCTAGTGTGTGTATTCTTTCCAAGACAGTCTGTGTTTCTTATCCCTGAGTGATGAGGATGGACTCCCCCCACCCCGCATGCTGAAGATTTCCTGCCTCCAAACTTTTCTATCTTGACACTCAGAAGATTCCCGTTCTTCCCCCTTAGAAGGTAAAGATGTATTATTGCCAGGAGTAAGTAACATATCACCCACATGACTGGTTTTTGCTGCTAATCCCAGTTGATGGTAGGGAGGGGCTGTTCTGGGAAGCAGCCATGTGGTTAACATTGTGCACAGTGCATTTTTTTTTCCCTCCTCTTCTCTCCTTTTCTTTACAGACATGCAAAATTGTTCCATGCTGCCATAGATGTGAACTCCCCACTGCACTGCCCTTTTTTTTTTTTTCCTCTTTTCCAGGGATGAAAAGGCCTGAACGATCCGACAGAGATCTAAAAAGCTCCTATTGAATCTGCGTGGAAACTGGAAAGGAGATGAATAACAGAAGGGAAGAAAGAGCAAAGTTGGTTATTTTTCTGGCGCACGGATGCAATTACACTCAGTGCATTCCAGAGGCGTTCCTTTGAATGCTGTGCAGGTCTGCCTGCCATTCCTGGGAGAAAGGAAGAAAAAAGGAAGGAAAAAATCTCTCTCTCTCCTGGAGCGGCATGTCTGCACTTTCCATCCTCTTTCTAGGTGAGTGTGCTCAGTGTTTTTCAAAAATCAAAGTTACTCTTGTTTTCTCTGGGCAACAGCGAATGCAACAGTGACTAGCAAAGGAGAGACACTTGGAAAGAAAAAACTTGTCTGTTGTGTTCAGAGTCAGTCTGGTTTAGTTTTCCTCTATTTTTTGTGGTTGATTTAATTATTGCCAGGTTAGAGAACAGAAGAATTTTTTAAGACTAATTTCTCCCCCCTTTAAAACATGTTGTTCAAACCTCAGCCGTAGCTCGATGATCTTCCGAGGTCCCTTCCAGCCCTAATGTCTATGAAATCTATGAAACTCTTTTTGTTTGGGGCTCTCCCCCCCCATAAGATCCAGCAGTTCTGAGCAGTGAAGTCTTCAGGGGCTTGAACCATTTTGGCAAAATAAAGGTGAACAAAGTATCTTTGTTGCCAGGAGTTTGTCACCGTTGCTTAAATTAATCTTTTTTTTTTCTTTGGCCAGGAATTTTTAATTTCAGCTTTGTTTTTTGTTTTTATGTTTTAAAAAAAGAGCTTATTGTTTCCAATAGAAGCTGTAGACAACTCAGATTAGAAACAGATGTGTTCAAGTGCAAGGGGGAGGGAGCCAGAGGAGAAAGGCATAGAAAAGGGGGAAAGAAGAGCTGAGGAGAGGAAGGTAGTGAAATGTGGAGAGAAGAAAAGGGGAGATAATAGAGAGCAGAAAGTAAGAGACAAAGGAAAGAGGGATGGAGAAAGGGGGAAGGGAAAAGAAGTGGCTGAAGGATAGGAGGGGAAAATGAAGTGAAAAAGGAATGAGTTGCAGGAGGGAGGAGGGCACAGAATGGCAAAAATGGAGAGATGAAAGGGTACGAGAAGAAAGTATGAGGAGGTGTGGAAGGGAAAGGGAGGCAGAAGCCAAAAAAAAAAGAAGATAAGGGTTTAGATTGAGAGAGAAGACTGGAAGGACAGAGGAATGAATGGATTTGTGCTTACTAAAGAGAAGGCCTCTGGAGGAAGGGATCTGCAGTCCTGCGGCCTCCAAGGAGGCTTGCCAGTGAGGCAGTGCCTGGATCCCCAGGGGCTCGGCCACGCTGCAAGCGAACCTTGCCCTCCGGTCCACTTGCCAGATCGCTCTGGCAGGCAGATGGCTCTGTGAGATCTCGCATCAGGGCCATGCATGGGCTGTGATGCCTGGGTCCCTCTCGAAGCACCTGGGGACAGGTGTAAGCGATGCCAAGGTCTCCTCCTGGGCAGAGCGGGCTGGGTGCTAGCAACTCAGAGCGGGGTGGTGGACAGGATGGAGGCAGGTCCGAAACCTGCCACACGATCTTGGAGGCAGGAGGGCAGGAGAGATGCTGGAGGGCACGGGCCTGTCTTGTGAGGCTCACACAGGTCCACAGTGCAGAATTTGATGTCGAGTTGTAAGAGGCACGGGAGCATCAGTAGATTTGGCTGAGTGATTATCCAGCCTGCTGTACCCCATGCATTTCCCCATGCCACCACAGTCAATTGTCGTACAAATTGCTTGAGAATAAAGGTCTTTGCCACTGGAGTGGCTCTGAGTGCTGGGTTTCCTTTGGGGGACACGAGCTGGAGGGACAGGCAGCTCAGCCGCGCTGAAAAGTCTGCAGCAGAAGTGCAAGCCACTCAGCCCCTGGGCACTAGGTCCTTGTGTCTTGGCAGTTTGGGGGTGCCTGAGAGACTCGGGCAGTGCACAGCCTTCTCCTGGCCGCGGGGATAGGTACTAAAGTCTTGGGAGAGTCATGCTGAGTCCATAGTGCAAAACTGCTGCTATGCTCTTACTACAGCCTGCTGCTGCCATGCTCTCACCAGCCAAGCAGATTCAAATAGCAGTGGGAGCCAGCCAAGGCAGCAGGGGACAGGCAGGGAGCGCTGCTTACTCCAGCACAGGGCAAGGGGGAGGAAAGTAGGGGAGGAAAAGGAGAGGGGGAGCTGTGATTCCCCACCCCCTCCCAACTCGGACTGCTGAGTCTTCTCAAAAAAGCCGCACTTTATCAGGGAGACTGAACTAAGCTCTTGCCCCAGATGAGCAGAGCCCTATGTCCTAGCATTGCTGTAATAACTCTCGCCCAAGAGTCCCCAAGAGCTTTATAAATCATTATTTGCATTCCAGTGGGCTCTGGAGACCCCATTGCGCCAGGCACTCAACAGCCCCAGAGTGAGAGATGGTCCCCGCGGTTTACAAGCTAAAATGTCACGAATGAAGCAAGCTATACGGCCCTTTGTCACATCATTATCCCCATCCTGACAGACAGTAGACTAAGAGGTTTTTCCAAGACCACAGCAAAGCTGGGAATTGGTCTCTTGACGCTCTCCAGTACTTTTAACCACAAGCTTGTCCTTCACCTCTTCCTGTGTTGCTGCAGGGCCATAGATGGAGAGCGGGCTGCAGTCTCCTGGTTCTCTAAGCCTGATCTTATTCATCCACACTAAATTCACGAAAAGTCTGTTTCAAAGGGAAAAAAAAGAAGGGATTGTGGCTTGTGTTCTTGGGTCTAACTGTAGGAGGGTGACCTCAGGAGAAGAGGAAAGCATCATTTTCTTGCTTAAAAAAGAAGTCTAAACAATCAATCCACCCTCAACTACATTGCAAAAGCACTAGTGACGCCCTTTCTCTTCCCGCCAAACAAATAGTTTTTGGAGAAGCAGCTGAAAAGTAGTGGCAAGGCCTGAGAGGAGATAGCGAAGAGAAGTGAAGCTTGCTTTTTTATTACTGCTAACTAGCATTGCCAGTGCGCACTTTTGCTTTACAGGCAGGATAAAGGATAGTCCTTTCCCCAAATTGTGCACATTGGGGGAGAGTAAGGAAAAGTCAATGTGTAGGGAGGCTCCTGGAAGAAATTATTTCTAAGGGAAGATTTAAAGAAGGAAGTTTGGTTACTGTACAGACCAGCATGGAGGGACTTTCCAGGCATGGGGAAAACTGCAAATAAAGGCATGCAGCTAAGAGTGGGTGAAGGAGCAGAAAGGGGAGACAAGCAACACCTTTGTGTGCACACATCCATCGGTGTGATGTCACTTGAGAACTGATTAACTTTTTTTTCTGGAAAAATCACTCTGAGAAAAATGGAAATTTCTGTGATGAAGTTCATTTTTCCGTGTGAAAAATTTGGAAACCATTTTTGTATTTAGCTTTTGGACAACAACGAAACTGGGGGAAAAAATCATCCAGCTGAGCAAATATTTTAGTCAAAGCAAAGATCATTTCCGTAGCTGATTGACCACGCATTTTTAGTGGTTAAAAATGAGTATGTACAAGTATAGATGCTTACAGTTTTTAGGCGTTTGCTTTTTTTAATGAAAACCCCCAAAATTATTTGAACAAAAACAAGAAAAAATAATTTTTTTGGTTGTCTTTTTTCTTTTTTAATAGAAAGAAAATTCGCATTAGCTTCACGCTGGGGTGAACCCTACTGACTTCAATAGACTTACTTTAGCTTTGGCTATGGTATTAATGAAAGGTGAATAAAACTTCACAAGGTATTAAGCTTATAAAGGCATTGTGTGCTGCTTCTGGGATATAAAGACATCACAGAAGCAGAAACAATAAGCTGGTTGGAAAATTTAACATTTCAGTAGAAAATGGGTTTCCGTTCTCCAGCCAGTTACACAACTGGCATGTGAGTGAAATGTGATCCCGTTTGGAAAAATCATCTCTTTGACCATTATGTAGGAGCAACACTGGACCATGCTGTGAACCAAATTCTGGCCCAGTATAAATGACTGCCACTACTTTACTCCAAATTGAATAAAACCTAGCGATGTCAGGGCTAAATTGGTCTCTCTTCCCTTGGGGAAATGAATCCCTAGAGGCTATTTCTATCTGTTGGTTAGGCAGGCTGGTGAAGAGCAGAGAAGCAATTAATTTACAGTTGTGCAAGGAATTCTTGCTAATGAAGGGTTTGATGTGTGCTTCTTAATACAGGGCTTGGCCAAGAAATGATTTTTCTTCTCATAGTTTCTGCCAAAAAATCTATTTGCATCAATATCTTCAACATTTTTTATGTTTCTACTGAACACCTCCCTACAGCCCTCAAACCTTTTCTGTTTCAGTTTTCAGCCCCCCAAATTTCCCCTGTAAAACCGGTTTGTGGCTTTATGATGAAAACCTGAAAAATATTTGCAAAAAATAGAACTTCTGTCTTTTCATTGAATGAAGAAAGCAATAGAGGTAAAACTCAGAGGAACTCTCAGGTGTGTCGTCTTGATGCAAGACCCCACCTCTTCCCTGGGAGGCAAATAACACCACAAACTGACAATGGATAGCAAAGAGGGGGATTTTCAGGTATTTTTCCCCATTGCACAGAGCTGTGCAGAGCTCTGCCCTCTGAAACCTGAGATGAAGAGAGCTTTTCAATGCTGTCCCCAGGGCCCAGGACTCTGATAATCTCCCTGGGCTGCCAGTTGCAGGAACTCAGCTGTGTCCAAGTGGAGTGATAGGGTCTGACAGATGATGTACGGCTTCCTACGTACTTGCTAAGGTGCCAGTGTCTTCTGGTATAAAAGGACAGCTTCTCTGAGGCATTCAGCACTGGCAAGCTTGACAGCCGCTATCAAAAAAGATCATAAGCCTGCTCTTAGTGAGGTTATTGGGAGGTTTGTCATTGATCTTAATGGCAGGAGGATCAGCCTGTAAATTAATTCACTGAAAAGGTGGGGGCTGGGTACTAAGCAACCCCAATACCCCCTGAATACATCCTGATCATGTCTTGACTGGCATTGGCGTCTCAATTTCTATATAGTATATTCACAGAAGTTTAGGGCTGGAAGGGATCCTGTGAGATCATCAGGTCCAGCCCCCCTGCTCTGGGCAGGAAAGGCCACTGGGGTGCTTGGGGGTCACATAACTATTGTGCCAATTCTCGGCTGATATACATCGGGAGCATCCCTTGACTTTTTGGCAAAGCTATGCTAGTTTATGCCAGCCAACAAGCTGGCGTGATACTGCCAAACCAAATCTAAACAGGGCGTGGAATAGTTGCAATCTGTTCTCCGGATGTATTGAATCC